TTATTTATTATATTTATTTATTTTTTTTTATTTATTTATTAAATTATATATATATATATATATATATATATATATATATATATATATATATATATATATATATATATATATATATATATATATATATATATATATATATATATATATATAATATTATTTATTTATTAATTATATTATATATATATATATATATATATATATATATATATATATATATATATTATATATATATATATGTATTTATTTATTTATTTATATATTTATTTATTTATATATTATGTAAATGTATATATATATATATATATATATATATATATATATATATATATAGTATATATATATTATATATATATATATAAACTAGCCTCTGTGAAAAACCTATCTCTAAAGAACCATGACAAGTGTGTTTAGTAATCAGCATATACCCGGCGTTGCCCACCCTAACCCTAACCACAACCAAAAACACAAACACAAACGCAAACAAAAAAGCAAACGAAAACAAACCAAATCCAAACACAAGCACAACCACAAACGCAAACCCAACCCAAACCAAAAGAAAACACAACCGCAAAAATAAACTCAAAGTGCTCACAGTATCGCCCGGGGTGCCAAATCACACCATGCCGAGGCGCCGGCGGAACCGTCTGATTAACTTAGTAAACGACTATTTTACCCCAACTTATTCTTAGTCTTTTGCACTCACTTAAACGAACGTAGGCGCTATAGCGAACACGAGAAGGCCTGGGGCGCAAAATAGTCCCAAATTTCAGGGTGCCGGAGGACGCCCGGATTCGATTCACTTAAAGGCTATAGTAACCTTTCGTATCCATAGTCTATAGCACTGTTTAAGGCGAAATTATGCACTATAGCGCTCATATGATAGCCCAGGGCGCCAAATCGAACCCTGCCGGGCGCCGGCGAGCGCGCCTGTTTCAATTTAATGAACAATTAAAATACCCCAAGCTTATCCGCAAACGGAAAGAAGTAAACATATAGGACATTTAGGAGCTGGCTTATTAACTGTTATTGATTTTTTTAAATAGTAATGAGAAATTTTTAGTAAACTGTACGTTCAGTGTATAAAATAAATGAAAGGCAGTATTTAAAATGCCTACCACATTGCAATTGATCAATCGCCGATAATTATGCAATAATTTTTTCACTACATTAAAACAAAGTAATAAAAAGTAAACACCCCCCCCCCCCCCCCCCCCCCGATGCAATGTTTTTATAAAGGGAAGTAATTGTGTTTTCCTAATTTATCAAAGAACGTAATGAGTGCTAAGGAACTAAATGTAAATATTTTTCAGACTCAATAAGAATTTTTGTGAAAGGTGATGCATTTTTAAAATTGTATTCGATGGACATGCCAACATCAAGTTTGAAAAATGAAAATTGTTTTACTGTACAACACCTTCAATATTAATTTTTAAAATCATTAATTTAGACGATAAGCACTTTAGATGTATAACACTATGACGATGAAGTCTATTACTTTCTTATATTTCTTTGTAATGCGCGGTCCCCGATCACATACAGAATTCAACTTGATATATTAGATATATAAATGACCATTTGAATGGTCAGATAGGACGTGATGATCGCCCCTGTGGGACTACTTAGAGATCACTTAGGGGAGATCACTTAGGAGAGATCAAGTGAGGGCACAGATTAACGCCCTTCGTACGGGAGACCACTGCTGTGAATATCAGCAAGCGGAAGTTGATGGGTTCTACTTTTGCGATGGTTAAACTTTACAACCATAACAACAAAGAAAGACAACCCAAAGAGTCATTGTTTCAATCGTCTGCGGTCATCTTGTGTTTATTGCCAAGTGGGTCTACAGAATTTCAATTCTACTCGCACATCGTTTGCTAACTTATACCAAATGGATTTAGGTCAAACAAAATATCGTTAAAAATATGCTTTACTATGCATGTGTTGTGTTATTAATTAATTTTAAAATGCCAAGGTCCGGGAGGGGGCCTGGTCAACACAGAGAAAGAACGGCGATGTGACCTTGACCCTGGTGTGTAAACAGTAACGTCACGTAAAAAAGGGGGCAGGCTATGGTAGGACTATGGTAGGACTAGACTGCGGTGGTAGGACTGCGGTAGGACTTATGGATTAAATTGCTGAGTCAGCGAATTTTCTCTGTTTCTAACTTGCCTGATTACTAGATCTAGATCTAGACCTTTTGAGGGCTGTTGGTTTCTTCATAAAACTTATTGGGTTGTTTTTTTTTTACAACCCTTATTGTTTTATTTAGACATTTTAGAACTGCAAATATTATTCTTGTAATGGCTTTGTGTGTAAAGCTGTTCTGTTGGCCTCTACTACTTGATTGGAAGCATCCAATCTAACGCTTGCCGCATGAGAAACAGCTGTAGCCTAAATGGTAGGTCAGATAGGTTTATTTACAACTGGGGTGGGGGGGGGGCTAGGACGTCAGGTCAGAGGCCCACGTGTCGGGTCAGAGGTCAGGCCTGATAATCTCTCCGCCGCTCACGGCATTTTTTTTCAAGCGTTTAACAGTTTTTTTCAAGCGTTTAACAGTTTTTTCAAGCGTTTAACAGTTTTTTTCAAGCGTTTAACAGTTTTTTTCAAGCGAATACTTTTTTCAAGCGTTTAACAGTTTTTTTCAAGCGAATACTTTTTTCAAGCGTTTAACAGTTTTTTTCAAGCGTTTAACAGTTTTTTCAAGCGTTTAACACTTTTTTCAAGCGTTTAACAGTTTTTTCAAGAATCGGCTTTTTAAATGAGTGTCCCAAAGAAAAGAAAAATATTTGATCTGTAAATGATCCCACCCCCTCCCACCCCCTCCAGGCAGAGTGATTGCTCTTGTTATGTACGTTCTTCTTCCATTTGAACATTCAACAAATTGTCTTTCCACCCCCCACCCCCCACCCTCAAGTTTGTGGTCAGGTCAAGCAGGATTTGGTGTTTGTCATCGATTCCTCTGGCAGTGTCAGGAGAGACAACTTCAACAGAATCAAAAACTTTCTCGCCGACCTGCTCGACCCATTTCCTGTGGGAGCAGACGAGATTCGCATTGGTCTGGTACGTTACTCCAGTCACGTGCAAGTCGTTTCCCGCCTCAACCAAAACATGGACAAGCAGGACAAGGTTCGAATCTTCCGAGGGATGGATTACAAGTAGGTTACAGGGTCAAGGTTACAGGGTCAAGGTTACAGGGTCAAGGGTACAGGGTCAAGGTTACAGGGTCAAGGTGGGTGGTGTTAAGGTGGGGGTGGTGTTAATGTGGGGGTGGTGTTAAGGTGGGTGGTGTTAAGGTGGGGGTGGTGTTAATGTGGGGGTGGTGTTAAGGTGGGTGGTGTTAATGTGGGGTGGTGTTAAGGTGGGTGGTGTTAAGGTGGGGGTGGTGTTAAGGTGGGTGGTGTCAAGGTGGGTGGTGTTAAGGTGGGTGGTGTTAAGGTGGGGTGGTGTTAATGTGGGGGTGGTGTCAAGGTTGTGTGGTGTTAATGTGGGGTGGTGTTAAGGTGGGGTGGTGTTAAGGTGGGTGGTGTTAAGGTGGGGGTGGTGTTAATGTGGGGGTGGTGTTAAGGTGGGTGGTGTTAATGTGGGGTGGTGTTAAGGTGGGTGGTGTTAAGGTGGGTGGTGTTAAGGTGGGGGTGGTGTTAATGTGGGGGTGGTGTTAAGGTGGGTGGTGTTAATGTGGGGTGGTGTTAAGGTGGGGTGGTGTTAAGGTGGGTGGTGTCAAGGTGGGTGGTGTTAAGGTGGGGTGGTGTTAAGGTGGGTGGTGTTAATGTGGGGGTGGTGTTAAGGTGGGTGGTGTTAAGGTGGGTGGTGTCAAGGTGGGGTGGTGTCAAGGTGGGGGTGGTGTCAAGGTTGTGTGGTGTTAAGGTGGGGTGGTGTTAAGGTGGGTGGTGTTAAGGTGGGTGGTGTTAAGGTGGGGTGGTGTCAAGGTGGGGGTGGTGTCAAGGTTGTGTGGTGTTAAGGTGGGGTGGTGTTAAGGTGGGTGGTGTTAAGGTGGGTGGTGTTAAGGTGGGTGGTGTCAAGGTTGTGTGGTGTTAATGTGGGGTGGTGTTAAGGTGGGGTGGTGTCAAGGTGGGGGTGGTGTCAAGGTTGTGTGGTGTTAATGTGGGGTGGTGTTAAGGTGGGGTGGTGTTAAGGTGGTTGGTGTTAAGGTGGGGTGGTGTCAAGGTGGGGGTGGTGTCAAGGTTGTGTGGTGTTAAGGTGGGGTGGTGTTAAGGTGGGTGGTGTTAAGGTGGGTGGTGTTAAGGTGGGGTGGTGTCAAGGTGGGGGTGGTGTCAAGGTTGTGTGGTGTTAATGTGGGGTGGTGTTAAGGTGGGTGGTGTTAAGGTGGGTGGTGTTAAGGTGGGTGGTGTTAAGGTGGGGTGGTGTCAAGGTGGGGGTGGTGTCAAGGTTGTGTGGTGTTAATGTGGGTGGTGTCAAGGTGGGTGGTGTCAAGGTGGGGTGGTGTTAAGGTGGGTGGTGTTAAGGTGGGTGGTGTTAAGGTGGGTGGTGTTAAGGTGGGTGGTGTCAAGGTGGGTGGTGTCAAGGTGGGTGGTGTTAAGGTGGGTGGTGTTAAGGTGGGTGGTGTTAAGGTGGGTGGTGTTAAGGTGGGGTGGTGTCAAGGTGGGGGTGGTGTCAAGGTTGTGTGGTGTTAATGTGGGTGGTGTCAAGGTGGGTGGTGTCAAGGTGGGTGGTGTTAAGGTGGGGTGGTGTTAAGGTGGGTGGTGTTAAGGTGGGGTGGTGTCATGTTGGAGTGGTGTCAAGTGTGAAATATTTTCCAGACCAGGCAGTACAAGGACCGACCTTGGCCTTCAGACAGCGAGGACAGAAATTCTCGTGCCGGCCAACGGAGACCGGCCGGAAGTTCCGGACACGATCGTCCTGGTCACAGATGGCACCTCGGACAACCGGGACTTGACGGTCATTGAGACTGGACTGCTCAAGGCCAACCCCGGGCTAAAGGTGAGACAGGGTTCAGGGACAATCTGGGGTTAAAGGTGAGACTGGACTGCTCAAGGCCAACCCCGGACTAAAGGTGAGACTAGGTTCAATGCCAGTCTGAGGTTAAAGGTGAGACTAGGTTCAGGGACAATCTGGGGTTAAAGGTGAGACTGGACTGCTCAAGGCCAACCCCGGACTAAAGGTGAGACTAGGTTCAATGCCAGTCTGAGGTTAAAGGTGAGACTAGGTTCAGGGACAATCTGGGGTTAAAGGTGAGACTGGACTGCTCAAGGCCAACCCCGGGCTAAAGGTGAGACAGGGTTCAGGGACAATCTGGGGTTAAAGGTGAGACTGGACTGCTCAAGGCCAACCCCGGGCTAAAGGTGAGACTAGGTTCAATGCCAGTCTGAGGTTAAAGGTGAGACTACGTTCATGAACAATCTGGGGCCAAAGGTCAGCAATTTGATTAGCTTATTGTCTGGTTTAAGTTGTTGCTGTAGCTTGAATTTGACCTGTGTCCCAGATCCTTGTCGTTGGAGTGGGGAAAGACGTGAACAACGACGAGCTGTTGTATATCGCTTCAAGGCCGGACCTCAAGTTCAAGGTCGACAACTTCAAAGATCTAACCAGTATCGTCCAGGAGTTATTCACGGTCACATGCAGAGGTAGGGCAGATGTTGAAGGGCAGATGATGAGGTGGGGCAGATGTTGAAGGGCATATGATGAGGCGGGGCAGATGTTGAAGGGCATATGTTGAAGGGCAGATGCACCTACTAGTTAAGGGGCGGGCCAACCTCTCAAATCTAGCTTTAATTATTCGATCAGATACAGGTTCCCATTCCATCAGGCTTTTTGTTGCCTCTTTTGTCAATAGCAAGGCTATTCAGCTTTCAGTTTCTTTGTACTGACATTTGGATGATCGCATTTTTTTTTGCCGCCATCTTCTCACCAGAGGCCAGCCTGACAACGACGGAACAGCCAACGTCTGACAGCACGGCGGCCCCCAGAAGCCACAAGTCGCAGCCTACAAGAAAACCCGGAACACGGAAATATGCAACAACCACGGAACCCGGGGCACGGAATTATCCAACATTCACGGACAGCAGCTCCGGTAAAACAGCAAAACAGCCTCGCTCTACCCGCCCCGCTCCAATCAGGACTACGGGCAGCGTGACGTCAGTCGTCACAACGTCTGACCAGACAAGTTCGACAGACATACGTCACAGATCTAGCGGCCCAACCCAGGAGCTGGCTAACATTCTCAGTGACACGACCACATCCAGTGACGTCAGCACATCCAGTGACGTCAGCACATCCAGTGACGTCAGCACATCCAGTGACGTCAGCACATCCAGTGACGTCAGCACATCCAGTGACGTTGGTCCAACAAACTCGACAACATCTTTGAGCCAATCACATACCTCATCACCGTATAGCACACTACATCTCAGTGCCTCATTGTTAGCACATACTGAAATAAACACACCTGCACACACCCACACAGACACACCTGCACCCACCCACACAGACACACCTGCACTCACCCACACAGACACACCTGTACACACCCACACAGACACACCTGACACAGACACACCTGTACACACCCACACAGACACACCTGCACACACCCACACAGACACACCTGACACAGACACATCTGCACACACCCACACAGACACACCTGCACACACCCACACAGACACACCTGCACACACCCACACAGACACACCTGCACCCACCCACACAGACACACCTGCACACACCCACACAGACACACCTGACACAGACACACCTGCACACACCCACACAGACACACCTGCACCCACCCACACAGACACACCTGCACACACCCACACAGACACACCTGCACACACCCACACAGACACACCTGCACACACCCACACAGGCAGAGCGCCACAGTTCTACCACGTAGTCACAAGAAATGTTTCCACAAGTTTGGTCAAAGATTTTGTACATGCACCTACACCATCCATACCATCCCCCACCCCACCTACACCATCCATACCATCCCCCACCCCACCGCCATCTTCACTATTTACTTTACTCTCTACACAATCAATGACCAAAAATGTCTCTTTCATTTCCACTGGACGGTTTATAAAACCCTCTAGATCTTCGCCGGCTTCCACACCATCAACTACATCAGCCACACCATCAACTACATCAGCCACATCAACAAGATCAGCCACACCATCAACTACATCAGCCACACCATCAACTACATCAGCCACACCATCAACTACATCAGCCACACCATCAACAAGATCAGCCACACCATCAACTACATCAGCCACACCATCAACTACATCAGCCACACCATCAACTACATCAGCCACACCATCAACTACATCAGCCACACCATCAACTACATCAGCCACACCATCAACAAGATCAGCCACACCATCAACTACATCAGCCACACCATCAACAAGATCAGCCACACCATCAACTACATCAGCCACATCAACAAGATCAGCCACACAATCAACAACATCAGCCACATCATCATCCAGCATGACGTCACCCCACAACGTCACAGCCTCCCCCAGCATGACGTCACTCCACAACGTCACAGCCTCCCCCAGTATGACGTCACTCCACAACGTCACAGCCTCCCCCAGTATGACGTCACTCCACAACGTCACAGCCTTCCCCAGCATGACGTCACTCCACAACGTCACAGCCTCCCCTAGCATGACGTCACCCCACAACGTCACAGCCTCCCCCACGACCGGCCAGGGGCGTGTCTCGACCGTCAAGCTGTACACCTATCTGGGTGCCGGCACCGTGTCCCTGATTCTCCTGACGGTGGGCGGCACCACGCTGATCATCGTCATCAGACGTCGCCTGACCCAGCACAAGGAGCGATGTCAAGAACAGTAACCGGGGGGGGGGGTCGTCTTGAGTCAAAGTTTACGTGGGGGGGTCATATGGACGTGGGGGGTCATCTGGTGTTTGTTTTTTAATCGCAGTATGTCGTGGATATTGTGGTGGATCAATAGATGGATGTCATGGATATTAGGGTGGATCAACGGATGTGTGTCATGGATATTAGGGTGGATCAACGGATGTGTGTCATGGATATTAGGGTGGATCAACGGATGTGTGTCATGGATATTAGGGTGGATCAACGGATGTGTGTCATAGATATTAGGGTTGATCAACGGATGTGTGTCATGGATATTAGGGTGGATCAACGGATGTGTGTCATGGATATTAGGGTTGATCAACGGATGTGTGTCATGGATATTAGGGTGGATCAACGGATGTGTGTCATGGATATTAGGGTTGATCAACGGATGTGTGTCATGGATATTAGGGTTGATCAACGGATGTGTGTCATGGATATTAGGGTTGATCAACGGATGTGTGTCATGGATATTAGGGTTGATCAACGGATGTGTGTCATGGATATTAGGGTTGATCAACGGATGTGTGTCATGGATATTAGGGTGGATCAACGGATGTGTGTCATGTCCTTGCGTTCTGCATTTCGCCATTTACTTTTCACTTTCTCGTGTACAAAGTATTGGCATCATGAAATCATGACAAAATCGAAATTGAGATTTTCACTAATATCAATGTCGGTAAATTAGATTTGCAATTTGAACTGTCTGTCTGTCTGTCTGTCTGTCTGTCTGTCTGTCTGTCTGTCTGTCTGTCTGTCTGTCTGTCTGTCTGTCTGTCTGTCTGTCTGTGAACAACATGACTTGAGTACCCTTTAAGTAATGTTCATGACCTTTCATATATAATATATAAATATTATGTCACATTTGTAGTTCTGTTATAAATTTCGATGTATTTTCGGTAACCGGAAGTGGTTCTTACTTGACTTCCGATTTCTCAAAAGTCAATAACTTGAGTACCGCTAAATGTGGACAAAGTTTGATAAGCGGAAGAATTAACTTCATATAAAAGTTTAAGATACTTTACTTTGATTACGTCCAATTTTTTAGTGACCTGCGATAAACGGAGGTGGTACTTACTGATTTCAAAGATACGGATAATTTTAATACCGTTTCAGTAACGTAGACCAAATTTTATACATAGGTATAAAATCTTATTCTCTTAATACTTTCAAATCTTAAGTGGTTTCCCGTCACCCGAAAAAGCATTTTAAGCCATTTAGATTTTTCAAAAAGGTAATCAATGTTTCATTTACAAAGTAGGCCTACTATATCTAATTCTCTTCTCTGTTAAACAGAATTGTCTGCATTCACATGGTGCGCATTTTTTTTTCTATGCGCTTCTATTCTATTTAAAACTGAAGTATTAAAACAAATTTATAAAAAATTTCATAAATAACCGTTTTAATAACAAGCTTTTATGTAATAATGCACTAAAAAGTAGAAAATAAATTATAGACTACTATTTAAATAACTATAAAGAAAAGCGTGGGTCACTTAAGTATCTATTGGATACCTTTACTAATATTTAGGAAGAGACCCACGCTTTTCAATTATAGCTATTTAAATAGTAGTCTATAATTTATTTTCTACTTTTAAGTGCACTATTACATAACAGCTTGTTTTTAAACCTCTTTTATGAAAATTGTTTTATTACTTTACATGTTTTATTTACGCTAGAGCTGCATGACTAAAAACCATCGCGCACCTATTGCACGTGATGACACCCTATTTAACGTGATGACGCGTGTCTAATAGAGCGGAATAGTTTGATGAGACAGCCTACTAATTTGGACAAAATTTTAATCAATTCATAAATAAACCGGGAGTGATCTCCCCTAAACTTTCTCGAATATTCTTATATGAAACAACAGGGGATGGCAACTCGTGATATAGACACGATTTTTAATCCATTTTAAATACTTAAACTTTTTAAAATAGAATAAAATCTCGTAGAAAAAAAAGAATTGCACATCACGTGAACGCCAAATAAAATGTGCATAATAGTGCGCAATATTATTAGTACTTTATAAATTCACATGCGTCTTTTGAGAAAGCGAAAAATGCGAAAATTATTACTTCCTGTCAACGGAAATTACTCAACATTTAACAGAAGGCAGAGAATTAAATATTTTACTTAAATGTGAAATTTTATTTATCTATCTGAAATAGTACTTAAGTTATAGGCTTTTGAAAAATTCAAAGTAGAAAAAAATCCACTTCCAGTTATCGGAAATCGCTCAAAAGTTGATACGGATCTATGATTTTAATATAATACTTATATTTGAAATTTCATCAACCTAGCTGTAATGGTACTCAAGTTATCGTGTTTATAGACACACAGGCACACATACACACACACAGACATACGGACAAGATTGCAAAATTATGTTTTTCCGACCCAGGGAGCTGTAAAACGTCGAGATTTGCAAAAATCTCGAATTATTTTTTTTTGCACGATTACAAGACTTTCTTTATACTTCGTATATACGAGAAAGTAAAAATTAATCAGGCAACCAATTAAGACAAATTCAATGTCATGTTGCATTGTCTTCATGTCTTGACCCACGTACCAACTACGAACCGTATCTGTCAGTTAGAAATGCCTGCAATTTCGCTCGGGCGTTTCGATCTAGACATACAGACTGACGACAGACAGACGAAGTGAGTTGAATAAAAGCTTGTAAAAACAGCACGATTGCCCTGGAGGTACCATCCTCCTTATGGTAATATATAAAAAAAGTTGGGATCACTCACATTGTATTTGTTTACCTAGAAAATTTTTTTGCTCATTGTGTATGTATATTGGTTGAGGAACAAATGAATATATAAATAGATTGTATATGTAATGGTTTTAGTAGACTAGTAATTAATCGTAGCAAGTGTAGAAAAAAATGTTTATATATATATATATATATATATATATATATATATATATATATATATATTAAGAAATACTGTTTATCGTGAAACAATTAAAAATATTTTTATAACGCCAATATTTTTTCTACATTATTACTGTTACTGTTCATGATAGCTTTTCTTTTTGACCAATCAAAAACTAATGTAGATACTGCACTTAATCTACCAATCGAACACTAATTGATTTACTGCACCAACTCTACCAATCAAACACTAATTAAATTACTGCACTAAATGTACCAATCAAACACTACTGAATGTACACAGATAATGTGACCACAGATAATGTGACCACAGATAGTTTGACCACAGATAGAGTGCCCACAGAAGATGTGACCTTGACGTCAAGTGACATTGAAACTAGAGAGTTATGTAATACAGTCTAAAAATAAAGACCACTATAACCAGTGGCGTAGCGAGGTCGGGTGTCATCCGGTGCGGCACTTAACGGTGTCACCCCCCTCCCCCGCTAAAAATTATACATATATATAAGTCAAATTTAATGTCATGTTGCATTGTCTTCATGTCTTGACTCACGTACCAACTACGAGCCGTATCTGTCAGTTAGTAATACCTGCATATTCTCTCGGGCGTTTCGATCTAGACAGTCCTGACAATTTTAGAAAGAAGCTTTGGAACGTACAGCACACCTCCTGTTAGATCACACTGAGTCCCTAAATAGACTGATTGTCTTTCTTATAGATGCTAAATATGTACTGCAGTCTCTAAAAAACCAGGACAGTCTTTGAAAGGCTCAACAGCACCTGCAGCATGATTGTGTTGCACTGGATCCGGGCCACTCCCAGGTACAAAGAAATGAGATCGCGAACCAGCTGGCAAATATTGGGGGAAAGAAAAAATAGCCAGAAATCCAAAAGAAATCAAAAGAATAATAAAAAACAATCACAAATGTGGTCTGAAACGCACCTAAACCACAAAAAAGACGACGGATTTTACAAATTATAACGTAAAAAACAACACATTTTCTTTAGTTTCAGAACAGGCCACAACAGCTAAAACAACACATGTATTAAAAAAAAACCTAAAAGTTGGGCCTGGTGAAACTTGCCCTTGTGACATGGCCCCGGAGTATGCAGAGCACGTCCTTCAGGACTTCTTCTTGTACAACCAGGCCCCTATACACCCCACTCCAGGAAAAACTATATGGGGCACCTGCAGATCTGGAGACCATAGTCCAGTTCATACACGAAGTTGGACTTGTTGTTTAAATCCTCCAACATAAACTCAATTAAGAACGCAGAAGAAGAAGAAGTCCATCCGTATATTTTTCCTTCAAAAATCTCAGTCGACTATACAGAGAGTGAAGGAATGACACACTACCTAGCGGGTATAGTGATGTCGTGAGTGAAGGAATGACACACTACCTAGCGGGTATAGTGATGTCATGAGTGAAGGAATGACACACTACCTAGCGGGTATAGTGATGTCATGAGTGAAGGAATGACACACTACCTAGCGGGTATAGTGATGTCATGAGTGAAGGAATGACACACTACCTAGCGGGTGTAGTGATGTCATGAGTGAAGGAATGACACACTACCTAGCGGGTATAGTGATGTCATGAGTGAAGGAATGACACACTACCTAGCGGATTTATGGATGTATTGAGTGAAGGAATGACACACTACCTAGCGGGTGTAGTGATGTCATGAGTGAAGGAATGACACACTACCTAGCGGGTATAGTGATGTCATGAGTGAAGGAATGACACACTACCTAGCGGGTGTAGTGATGTCATGAGTGAAGGAATGACACACTACCTAGCGGGTATAGTGATGTCATGAGTGAAGGAATGACACACTACCTAGCGGATTTATGGATGTATTGAGTGAAGGAATGACACACTACCTAGCGGGTGTAGTGATGTCATGAGTGAAGGAATGACACACTACCTAGCGGCTTTATGAATGTATTGAGTGAAGGAATGACACACTACCTAGCGGGTGTAGTGATGTCATGAGTGAAGGAATGACACACTACCTAGCGGCTTTATGAATGTATTGAGTGAAGGAAGAAATGGCACACAACTAGTGTCGTGTCATCACAATGTCATCGTCGTGTTATTTATGTGTCAGCCCCATACACGATGACATAAAGTCAGGTGGTGGGGTGAGAGTAATAGAGTGTTGAGTCTGTGACGTCAGTGTCTTATCTACTCAAGAGGCCTCAAGTGGTCATAAGTGGTGTGCTCATCCAAACTGCGCTACCAGATCGTCTTCGGCTGTCCACTTGACCACTAGACACCGTCCTATTTTAGGTTGATGCACATTTTTCCCAACACGGAACTTAACGGCATTTGCCAAGTTACCATCGACGTGTAGCCTGTGTGCCAAGTTACCATCGACCTGTAGCCTGTGTGCCTAGTTACCATCGACCTGTAGCCTGTGTGCCAAGTTACCATCGACCTGTAGCCTGTGTGCCAAGTTACCATCGACCTGTAGCCTGTGTGCCTAGTTACCATCGACCTGTAGCCTGTGTGCCAAGTTACCATCGACCTGTAGCCTGTGTGCCAAGTTACCATCGACCTGTAGCCTGTGTGCCAAGTTACCATCGACCTGTAGCCTGTGTGCCAAATTACCATCGACCTGTAGCCTGTGTGCCAAATTACCATCGACCTGTAGCCTGTATGCCAAGTTACCATCGACCGTGTAGACTACTGCAGGATAACTCAGCTACACTGGATGTGAACCCTGTGTTGTGAACCCTATACCGTGAATCCTGTGCTGTGAACCCTATACCGTGAACACTGTGCCGTGAACCCTATACCGTGAATCCTGTGCTGTGAACCCTATACCGTGAACCCTGTGCTGTGAACCCTATACCGTGAACCCCGGGGAGATCGAAGCCAATTCACTGGTGAGTTTTCCTGCTTGAATGTGTCATCAATGAAATGATCATGGAGCTATATACCAAATATTTCTTTTATTAAGTAGCTTACAAAATGTTTAATTTTTATTCAATGTTAAGACTTAGAGCATAAAATATGTGTGAAATATTGACCATCAAACCATAAAGCCAATATGGCAATAAAGGCCTGTAGTAGTCCATTCTATGGTGCTCTGGTGGCCAGACGGTGGTGGTCCAGTGGCTGGTAGTGATCCAGTGGTCCAGGCTGTGGTGGTCCACTGGTCCAGGCTGTGGTGGTCCAACTGCTTGTTTATTATATTGATTAACTTTGCAGAAAAGTCCTTTACAGCGAAATTCTGTATGATTTCATACTTTACCACACTTCACCAAACTTTACCACACTTCACATCAAACTTTACCACACTTCACACCAAACTTTACCACACTTTACCAAACTTTACCACACTTCACACCAAACTTTACCACACTTTACCAAATTTTACCACATTTCACACCAAACTTTACCACACTTTACCAAACTTTACCACACTTCACACCAAACTTTACCACACTTCACACCAAACTTTACCACACTTTACCAAACTTTACTACACTTCACACCAAACTTTACTACACTTTACCAAATTTTACCACATTTCACACCAAACTTTACCACACTTTACCAAACTTTACCTTCACCAAACTTTACTACACTTTGATCTTTAGAAAATATCGAGATGATGAACATCAAAATGTAATGTATGTACGGCAAAAAGAGAACACTGTCAGGAAACCACCCGCACTAAAAATGAAGATTAATTCATTTTTCTTGGCTTTTATTTGTGTAGGACACTTCGAGCTGGCTAATGGACGTGAGTAACTTTATAGCTAGATTTTATAGCTGGATTTTATAGCGAGATTTTATAGCTAGACTTTATAGCTAGATTTTATAGCTAGACTTTATACCTAGACTTTATACCTAGACTTTATAGATAGCTTGACTTTATAGCTTAACTTTATAGCTAGACTTTATAGCTAGACTTTATAGCTAGACTTTATAGCTAGGCTTTACAGCTAGACATTATAGCTAGACTTTATAGCAAGACTTCAGACTTTAGACTGGTCTAAAAATATTTCATAACTAGCTTACCCGTCCCCGCACGTTGCTGCGGGGATAGAAGAAAGTCTGACGAAATATATCAGAAGGGTTTCATCAATGCGTTACCAATCGTATGTTCTTAGACGCGAGACCTTGTTTTCTAAAACTGAGTAATTTAAATGTAAACAATATCGGGACACGGGTTTACCTACACTATAGCATGAAAACCTTGAGTTTACGTTAATCCCTCACCGAAATAATGTGTCAGGGACGTAGAGGGGCGCTCTCGGGAGCCCCCGATTACACTACCGCAGAAGCGCCGCGTACAACCCCTGGCTACTTAAACCAATATAGGCGTCATAGTGCTCACATGATAACCCAGAGCGCCAAATAGCATCCTGAAACAATGATGCTGAATGCGTCATTCGCTAAAGTAATACAAATCAACAGAATTTTTTTCTTTAATAACAAGTAAAAAAAAAAAAATTTCACGTGTTATAACATCAGTGTGACTGGTGCAATTTCTTAGCGTTACTAATGGTGTATAATAAGTTGCTCGATCTCAATTTCTGAATGGATCTTCGAAAAATAGATGCTAATTTCACATAGTGACGAAACAGTACAGAAAGATTTCCTTTCCTTTACTAAGTTAATTTTAGAAGTGTGACTTTTATTTTTAGATTTGAGCTGCCCTCCGAAACTTATTTTTTTACAGAAATATTTTCATTATTTAGCTAAATAATGAAAACGAGCCGACCCGCGGTGTATCATACGCCGCTATTTAGTTGTTTTTTCTACTTTTCAGTAATTCATAATTTGTGAATTCGACAGTACCAATGCTGCCACTGAAAATATTTGCTTTAAAACACTAAACCCCCATTCCCCCCCCCCCCCCCCCCCCGTGAAAGCAGCCTCCTCTTAGTTACCTCCTCTAAGTTTAAAATAGTTTCAAACTGAATTATCTGCCCCTAATAGCCGTCACCAAACTAAACATTTAGAGTGAACTACAACTCACCTGACCATGTGAGGTGGGTGGGTGGGGGGGGTTGGGGGGGTAGCGATAGAGAGGAAGAGAGGGGACTGCAAGGCGCGCGCTTGCAGCTTGTTTTCTAACGGCTCCCAGAAGAGAATTATATATATAGATATTTCCGTAAAAAAAATAAGGCTTTGGAATTGTTTGGATTTTTTACCGACAAAAGGAAACAAACCAGTTAATAATTTTACTTTGTTTAATTTATCTGATTATTCAAAAAAAATATAACAGGGCCCTCAGCGGCCCATGTGAGCCTTTGCGGGCGGAAACTGAGAATTTTTGTTTGCAGCAAAATCGTACCCTACCAGTGCACCGGAGGACACGCCTGGTTCAATTTAGTGAGCGACTGTAATGCCCCATTTTATTCATTGTCTATCACACTGTTTAGAACGAACGCAGGTGCCATTGCGCTAAGAGGAATGCACATGCGCCAAATCGAATCTTACAGGGGCGCCGGGGAACGCGCCTGGTTCGATATTGTCAACGATTATTATTGACCATCGTGTCTTTAGTGTATAGCCTTTTTTAAACGAACTTAGGCGCCATAGTGCTTGCAGGGGAGCCCGGGGCGCTTCGGGTCGTGCAATCTATGGGGTGCTGGCGGTTGTGCCTGATGAAGCTTTAACGCTGAATAGAGTAGCACCCCTTACCCGCTATGCAGGAAGCACGATTAACGGATGTCAAATGCTAACATAGCTACTCTGGAAATCTGGGCGCCAAATTGTGTGTGGACGAAAATCACACCCTCGCGGGCGCCGCCCATATCAAATTTTAATTACTATGTTCACAGAAAACTCGGGAGTATTCTCATCAACTCGGTTTTATAGCACTGGGATAAAAAGGTGTCGAAACGCATCCAACTTTCAATTATTTTAATTTACCGAGGCGCCACCCTTGCGAAATCATTTTTTTTTTACAGAAACCTTTCTTTGAGTGTTTTAATCAACTCCCCAAAGTTTGATAACGATCGGATGAACGGCGTGAAACCACAACTGACTTGTATTTATATATACCGTTTATAGAGAAAAAAAAAACAAATCGCGTCCTGCCGGGACGCCACCCCTGCGAATTTGAATTTTTTGTTTTTTCGCAGAAACCGCCCCAGGTATATTTTCAACAACTTCCTAAAGTTTCATGTCGATCGGATGAAAGGTGTAGTAACGCATAAAAGACAGACAGACAGACAGATTGATACACATAAACACATACATTGCTTTATATATATATATATATATATATATATATATATATATATATATATATATATATATATATATATATATATATATATATATATATATATACTAGCGTACCCGCCCCCGCGCGTTGCCGCGGGAATAGAAGAAATTCCGAAGAAATACATAAGAAGGGTTTCATCCATGCGTTACCAATCCCATATTCTTAGACGCGTGACCTTGTTTTCTAAAACTACTAAAAGTGAGTTATTTAAATGTAAACAATGCCTACGCTTGGATAAATATCGGGACACGGGTTTGCCTACACTACCGCATGAAAACCTTGAGTGTACATTAATCATTCACCGAAATAATGAGGTAGAACACATTTCGGTGACCGCCCATGTGTCAGGGACGTAGAGGGTCGCTCTCAGGAGCCGCCCCCCCCCCCCACCCCGATTACACTACCGCATAGGCGCCGCGTACGGCCCCTGGCTCCTTAAAACTAACAGGCGCCATCGTGCTCATATGATAACCCAGAGTGCCAAATAGCATCCTGTTAACAATGATGCAGATTGCGTCGTTTTTTTTCTTTAACACGTAAACAAATTATTTGACGTGTTTTAAACATCAGTCTGACTGATGCAATATGTTAACGTTACTAATAGTCTATTATTAGATGCTCGATCTCAATTTCCTATTGAATTGTCTAAAAATAGATGCAAATTGCATCATTCGCAAAGTGACGAAACTGTTTGGTTTTTTTTTTTTTACGGACAAAAAGAAACATCCCAGTTAATCTAACTTTGGTTAATTTTTCTGATTATTAAAATAAAACGTATTAGCGGCCCATGTGAGCCTTTGGGCGCCGAAACTGTTTGCAGAATCCTTCCCTGGAGTGTTCTAATCAACTCCCCAAAGTTTGATGGCGATCGGATGAACGCCGTGAAACCGCTATCGACGTTTATTTTTATATACCGTATATAGAGAAAAATCGCACCCTCCCGTGGCGCCGCCCTTGCGAAATTATAAATGATTTGTTTTACAGAACCCTTCCCCAGAGTGTCCTAATCAACTCCCTAAAGTCTCATGTCTATCGGATAAACGATGTCATACCAAAATCGACTTTTATTTTTATATACCGTATCTAGAGAAAAAACAAATTGCGCCCTGCCGTGGCGCCACCCCTGCGAATTTGAAAATTTTTTCCCGTAGAAACCTCCCAAGGAATATTCACAACAACTTCCCAAAGTTTCACGGCGATGTGATGACAGGTGTAGTAATGCATAGAAGACACGCACACACACAAACATACATTGCTTTATATATATATATATATATATATATATATATATATATATATATATATATATATATATATATATATATATATATATATATATATATATATATATATATATATATATATATATATAGGGGGGGGCCTAAAATATATATATATATATATATATATATATATATATATATATATATATATATATATATATATATATATATATATATATATATATATATATATATAGCGTAATAGCTAGACTAACCTTCTAATCATTTCCATTACTTATCGCTCTGCCCCCCCCCCCCACGTAGAAATTCTACCGCCCCCCCCCCCCCATCCCCATCCCCCCGAACGAAATGGAATTTATATAGAAAATATATACATTTAACAGTGTCTAACAGTGTCCCCTCCCCCCCCCCCCCCCGGGAAACTTTAGTCCACCCCCCCCCTCCCCACCCCTGGAGAAAAAAAGTCTGGAAGAAACACTGTCGGCATGTTATTCAGGACACTAGACATATTGTAAGTTAGTACAGTGTGTACATGTAGCTTAACTCTACTTTCTCTGTCTCGGCGCAGGGTGTGAAATGGCGAGACTAGACTTGGTTCTGATCGTTGATTCGTCTGCTAGTGTCACCTCGAAAAACTTCAAAACTGTCAAGGACTTTCTGGCTAAGCTGCTGGAGCAACTTCCCGTGAACTCTGACCTCATTAGGGTGGCCATTGTCCGGTACTCTAACGATGTGCTGGTCATCTCCCACTTGAATGAGAGCATGGGGAAAACAGAGAAAATCAGGACATTGTTGCAGACTAGCTACAGGTAAGTGACAAGACCGGAATATTTAGCTACAGGTAAGTGACAAGACCGGAACATTAGACTAGCTACAGGTAAGTGACCAGACCGGAACATTAGACTAGCTACAGGTAAGTGACAAGTACGGAACATTAGACTAGCTACAGGTAAGTGACAAGACCGGAACATTAGACTAGCTACAGGTAAGTGACAAGACCGGAACATTAGACTAGCTACAGGTAAGTGACCAGACCGGAACATTAGACTAGCTACAGGTAAGTGACAAGACCGGAACATTAGACTAGCTCAGGTAAGTGACAAGACCGGAACATTAGACTAGCTACAGGTAAGTGACAAGACCGGAACATTAGACTAGCTACAGGTAAGTGACAAGACCGGAACATTAGACTAGCTACAGGTAAGTGACAAGACCGGAACATTAGACTTGCTACAGGTAAGTGACAAGACCGGAACATTAGACTAGCTACAGGTAAGTGACCAGACCGGAACATTAGACTAGCTCAGGTAAGTGACAAGACCGGAACATTTAGCTACAGGTAAGTGACAAGACCGGAACATTAGACTAGCTACAGGTAAGTGACAAGACCGGAACATTAGACTAGCTACAGGTAAGTGACAAGACCGGAACATTAGACTAGCTACAGGTAAGTGACCAGACCGGAACATTAGACTAGCTCAGGTAAGTGACAAGACCGGAACATTTAGCTACAGGTAAGTGACAAGACCGGAACATTAGACTAGCTACAGGTAAGTGACAAGACCGGAACATTAGACTTGCTACAGGTAAGTGACAAGACCGGAACATTTAGCTACAGGTAAGTGACAAGACCGGAACATTAGACTAGCTACAGGTAAGTGACAAGACCGGAACATTAGACTAGCTACAGGTAAGTGACAAGACCGGAACATTAGACTAGCTACAGGTAAGTGACAAGACCGGAACATTAGACTAGCTACAGGTAAGTGACAAGACCGGAACATTAGACTAGCTACAGGTAAGTGACAAGACCGGAACATTAGACTAGCTACAGGTAAGTGACAAGACCGGAACATTTAGCTACAGGTAAGTGACAAGACCGGAACATTAATAGTGTGTATGGTTATAATCCCCCCCCCATCCTCCCCGTCTAATTGTTTCAACCCTCCTTTACTTGTTTCCCCCCCCCCCCTCCCCAGCCCCGATATGACCAACACTCACCTGGCCCTGCGCGAGACCACGGATGTTGTTTTAACTGAAGCTCACGGAGACCGCTCGGATGTGCTGGACTTTGTCCTAGTTCTCACCGACGGCGAGTCGACAGATCGAGAAGCGACGCTGCGAGAGGTGGACAGGATGAAGATGAGGCCAGCCATAATTGTAAGTCATGTCAGCTCTCCGTTTCTGCTAGATTTATTTTATTATCCGCTTTTTATTTTTGTTTACAATGTCTGTTTTTTCCCACGCTTTCTTTAACTTGCTTTCGCGTCTTTCCAATCAAATCTTGCGATCAAAATTTCGGGCACTTCCCGGTTAGCTAGCGCGCTGAAATTTTCAGGGAAGCTTTGTTTCCGATGACAATAGAATATTCAATTGTTATTATTACTAAATTGATCCATGGAAACATGTTATTGATCATTTTAGACCGCTATATAATTGTACAAAAAAACATGTGGGGAAAAAGGGACATAACCCAGTAATTGTAATTTGATGAAAACAAGGTTCGGTACTCTCCCTCTTTTTGCTTACTGAGTAGTTGTCACGCGGTGTTTGTGTACAAACAACCAGAACGTAACAACTGGTGGCCAGTATGGGGGAGACGATATGGTCGAGTGGTTGGGCACACGATTGCTAACCCACTCGACACGGGTTCAAAGCACGTGTTTTTTACGAGTTGTCTTCGTTTACCCAAATAAAAAGTGAATGCGGTAAGATGGGGCGCCGTGATTTTCTTACAGTTTCTAATACTGTTGACTCTCTACAAGCTCCCAAATAAAAGTCAATAGTATTATCTAATCAATAGTAATATAACTTTTACTTCGGCGCCCCAAGTTTTTCATCGCTTATAGTAGAGTGATCGCTTGCATTATTGTGATGTATAGCATTTATTTTCTACTTTTTAGTTCAATCAGAAAACGTGTTTTTTTTAAAACTTTTTTAATGATAATTATTATAAGTTTGTTTTCTAACTTGCTTCCTCTGTCTGTCTATCTTCCTATCTGTCTGTCGACATAGATCGAAACTGCCAATTGAAATTTCGAACACGTCTAACTGGCTGATTAGTTTCAAACTTGGCACGTGGGTCAATATCCAATGTCAATGAAATCTGACATCAAATTTGACTTAATTGAAGGTCTAATTTATTTTTTACTGGCCGTCCCGGCCAGACCCTGCATTGGCCTCTGTGAGAAACCTATCAGTAAAGGACCATGACTTGTGTGTTTAGTAATCAGCATATACCCGACATTGCCCACCCTAATCACAACCAACCGAAACCAAAACACACAAAAAAAGCAAACATAACACAAACCTAAGTACAAACAAAGCCAAAAAAGACACAAATAATAACCTGCAGGAATTCCCGTTCCCGAATAAAGATGTCTTTTTTACGTCGACTGTCTTTGAAAATAATAATTATTAAACAGTACGTTCGGTGTATAAATTAAATAAAAGGCAGTATTTAAAATATCTACCACATTGCACTTGATCAATCCACTCTAATTATGTAATTATTCTTTTCCCAACACCAACACAAAGTAATAAAAAGTAAAAAATTAAATTTTTACAAAGATGTAATTTTTTGATAAAGGGAAGTAATTGTGTTTTCCTAATTTATCAAGGTACGTAATGAGTAAATGTAAATAATTTTAACACAATTAGAATTTTTGTAAAAGGTGATACATTTATTTAAATTTTACTGTTTTACTGTTATTCCGCACTGTTATACGCGTATTTTCATGTTCGTTTGGTGCGCAAAAATTTTTGGTCATGAAACTATATTGTATTAAAAGTTTTAAAGTACTGAAAAATGCATAAAAAACGTTTTGATAACAAGCTTTTATGTAATTATGCATTAAAAAGAAGCAAATAAATAATTTTCTTTAGATCATAATAATAGTTACGTTATTCTGTCACTCTGTCACTCTGCCAGGAACGCTCTAGAGAAAACACAAGCAAAGTAAAAACTTTCACAGTCAAACGAAACGTGACGTCACATGGAACATATAGGAAATATTCCAAAGCTGGAATAATAATATAAAATCACATCATTGATCTTGAGTAAACAAAAAATTAAAAAGCCAATGCCAAAAAAATATACAATAATAATGACATGATCGATACTTGACACTAACATTACCGATTAATGTATTGACATGATCGATACTTGACACTAAGATTACCGATTAATGTATTTGTCTAATCTTAAAAGTGGTCTGCACGTAAGATTTCTTTCAGGCATCTCTTAGGGTAGGGGGCAAGGCCCCCCATACTTCTCTCCTCCCCCACCCCCACCGAAGAACAACTAACCCCCCCCCCCCCCCGGAACGAAACAAAATTTATATAGTAAATATATACTTTTACAGTGTAAGCCCCCCCCCCCCCCATCGGAGAATTTAATACGCACAATTATATGACAGGACATTCATTTGAACGTTCGAAGAAATCTTCCTAGCCTATCTTCATTGCATCTCTTTATTGCCTAGCTTTGTTGCCGGTCTTCGCCCTTCAGTTCGTGTAGACGCCGCTCATTTTGTCTGCTATATTTTATGGATCACATCGATACTTGAAGAATGTCCACCCCCTCCCCCCCCCCATATCATGACACATGTCCACCCCCTCCATAACGACGAATGTCTACCCCCTCACCCCTCGAATCACGACGAATGTCCACCCCCCCCCCCCCCCCACCTCATATCATGACCAATACGGCGATTGTTTTGTCCAGATGTCATCTATCGGTGTGGGGAAGAAAGTCAAGGAAGAAGAACTCTTGTACATCGCCTCCAGCCCAGAGCTCAAATTTGAGGTGCAGACTTTCTCAACGTTAACCACCATCCTTCAGCATCTGACCAATACAACTTGCCAAGGTATGTTCAAACAAACTGGTTAAGGGCCCTAACCCCAACATCCCATCCCTCTAACCCCAACATCCCATCACTCTAACCCCAACATCCCATCCCTCTAACCCCAACATATCATCACTCTAACCCCAACATCCCATCCCTCTAACGCCAACATCCCATCCCTCTAACCCCAACATCCCATCTCTCTAACCTCAACATCCCATCTCTCTAACCTCAACATCCCATCACTCTAACCCCAACATCCCATCACTCTAACCCCAACATCCCATCACTCTAACCCCAACATCCCATCCCTCTAACGCCAACATCCCATCCCTCTAACCCCAACATCCCATCCCTCTAACCCCAACATCCCATCACTCTAACCCCAACATCCCATCACTCTAACCCCAACCTCCCATCCCTCTAACCCCAACCTCCCATCACTCTAACCCCAACATCCCATCCCTCTAACGCCAACATCCCATCACTCTAACGCCAACAACCCCATTTGTTGCACATTGCAACGAGAACTGGCAACTTACCTAATTCGTTTTTCTAATTTGATCCAAATGTCTTCTTCAGTCTGGGCGGACAACCAACAAGTAAACAAAACATCCGGCACAGTTCAACTTCAGCTTCAGCCGTCGGTCACTCAAAGTCTTCAGCCGTCGGTCACTCAAAGTCTTCAGCCGTCGGTCACTCAAAGTCTTCAGCCGTCGGTCACTCAAAGTCTTCAGCCGTCGGTCACTCAAAGTCTTCAGCCGTCGGTCACTCAAAGTCTTCAGCCGTCGGTCACTCAAAGTCTTCAGCCGTCGGTCACTCAAAGTCTTCAGCCGTCGGTCACTCAAAGTCTTCAGCCGTCGATCACTCAAAGTCTTCAGCCGTCGGTCACTCAAAGTCTTCAGCCGTCGGTCACTCAAAGTCTTCAGCCGTCGGTCACTCAAAGTCTTCAGTTACAGCCGCTGATGGCTCCAACTAAATCTACCAGTAGTTTTCTAACGCACTTGACAACAAACGCCATTCTAAAAATAGATTCTATGTTTAGGCCAAGCGATCATGTGACGTCGCTTCCTTTGTTTACATTCCCCCTGACCCCATTTCTCAAGACGAGCATGGAGGGTTGTGCTACCCGCTACTCGGCTCATCTAGAGGAAAGTACAAGCCTTGAGTCTGAGGAAAGTACAAGCCGTGAGTCTGAGGAAAGTACAAGCCGTGAGTCTGAGGAAAGTACAAGCCGTGAGTCTGAGGAAAGTACAAGCCGTGAGTCTGAGGAAAGTACAAGCCTTGAGTCTGCAGTTGAAAGGACCTGGGTGGAGAATATTCAAACGACCCCAGCCTTGACCTCCACACAAGAGGCAAGGTTACACTGGTTCAGTGCCCTAGTGGTGGTCAATGCTTCTACACCACGACTACAAGACCAACAAAACGCAGTGACCATCGACCAAAAAAACGCAGCGACCTTCGACCATGCAAAGAGTCTACACGACGTTTTGTCTCCAAAAATGAAACCTCTAAAGACGTCAGATATATCATATGACAGCTCTCTCCTGGATCTAAAGACGTCAGATATATCATATGACAGCTCTCTCCTGGATCTAAAGACGTCAGATATATCATATGACAGCTCTCTGTTCCATCTAAAGACGTCAGATATATCACATAACAACTCTCTCCTGGATCTAAAGACGTCAGATATATCATATGACAGCTCTCTGTTCCATCTGAAGACGTCAGATATATCATATGACAGCTCTCTGTTCCATCTGAAGACGTCAGATATATCATATGACAGCTCTCTGCTCCATCTGAAGATGTCAGAGATCTACAACAGCTCTCTGCCACATAAAGACCGCAACATTTCCTCTCTGCCTGAACAAACCATTCGAACAGGCGGGGAGTTTTCTATCTATAGGCTGGGCCCTTACTTGGGGGGCGGGCTGGGTTTTATACTGCTCGTCATGATCCTGAGTGTCGTCCTGAGCGTCATCACCGGAAGTAACGCTAGGCGGGGTCAGAGGTCAGCAGAGCCAGAGATATTGACTTGATATTCGGCATCAGATCGCTACAAATTATTGCATAGTCCCGTCTTTTGATACATTTATTTTGTATAATAATCTTTTGTTGCAATCCTTGTTAATATGGATGTATATTTTGATCTGTTGTTAACGAAAATGTGTAGATAGCTTCATATTTATTTCTATTAAATATTAAGATTTAAAAATGTGAATCTACTGAGTGTTACGCGTTTTAGTACAAAATGTGTACAATCTCGAATACTTGTACTGACTAGATCTAGGACCAAAAAGTTTTTACTAGATCTAGGGCAAAAAAAGTATAGACTAGATCAGTGGCGTCGCTAGGCCGGGTGTTACCCGGTGCGGCAACTAATGGTGTTACCGCCCCCCCCCCCCGAAAAAAATGTATATATAGGCATATATATATATATAAATATATATATATATATATATATATATATATATATATATATATAAAATAAAAAATATATTCATATAAATACATATATATATATTTATATATGTTAGTAATACTATAATACTAACGATATTCATCTATATTCGGTTATACATACAGCTGGATGTAGTATTGTTTTCTATTGCTTTAGCAGGTTTATGTTATTGTTCACCCCCCCCCCCCCCGCCCACTTTGTTGTTCTGATACACCAATAAGTCAGAAGTGGCTAACGGGGGCATAGGTATTTTTTCTAAGTATAGGCTTATATAAGGAGTGAATTATTCGCGGTCAGTTTTAAGTCCTCTGCGAGGAGGCTGACCGACGATTTTCTCACACTGCCGAGAGAATAAACAAGGTCTATGCTAAAAATTAGCCAGATGTACCATAAAAAAAAATTCGAAAACTCTTCTTCGGTTTTCACAAAAATATTTAGAAAAGAAAATACGGCTTCTGCTTTGATAACTTTAACCATTTGTTTCGATGTATAGATGATATAAGGCGGTGGTCACTTAAGGTCAGTTTTCATTCACTTGTCGTGGCCGAATGGGTCTTATTCTATTCACCTAATGAGCGTGATGACGTGTGTATAACAGAGCGTAATAGTTGGGTAAGACTGCCAACTAATTTGGTCAAAATGTTAATTAATTCATAAAAAATTAATTGGGCAACCAATTAAGGAAAATGTAATGTCATGTTGCATTGTCTTTTTGTCTTGACCTACGTGCCAATGTTGAAACAAATCTGTCATTAAGAAGAAATTAAGCTCGGGCGTTTCGATCTAGACCAGGGGTCTCCAAACTACGGCCCGCGGGCCGGATGCGGCCCGCGAAGTCCTCTCATCCGGCCCGCGGAAATCTTTTTGTCTAAGGAAAAATCGTTTGCTGGTGATGGCTGAGGAAATTTGCCCAGAAAAATCAAAGACATGCCTGGAAGAAACTGGCCCCCGAACTGAAATTTGATAGTTAATGCGGCCCTCGGACTGAAAAGTTTGGAGACCCCTGATCTAGACAGACAGACTGACTATTGACGACAGAGAAAGCAAGTTAAATAAAAGCTTGTAATAAAAAGTCGCAGTTAAAAATTACTTAGAACAGAGAAAAAACACTATCCCACAACCAGAGGCGTAGCGACCCTTCCCGGCGCCCGGGGACAAACTTTTCGATTTGCACACCCCCCCCCCCCATCAAGATTTCGATTTGCACCCCCCTCAACTTTCGATTTGCACTCCCCCCCTCCCTCAAGATTTCGATTTGCACCCCCCCCCACTCTCAAACTTTCAATTTGCACCCCCTCAACTTTTCAATGTATTTTTCCAACCCATTTTGGCGCCCCCTAAGGTCGGCGCCCGGGGTCATATGTACCCACCCCCCCCCACACACACACACACCTCGCTACGCTACTGCCCACAACATTTTGTCAGCCGATAGATTTCTTCATACAGTTCAACGTGCTCCCGCGATTATTTTTTTTTGGTACTTAAGGGAAGTAACTAAGTCCTTTTTAATAGATACAATAATTTTAATTATTGTTTCCCCCTGGGTTTCTTGATAGACACAATAATTTTCCTTGTTATTTCCCCTTGACTGTTGGCCATTGAAAAGGGAAAACATGTAACGCAAGGGATGTGGTGATTAAAGATTTCTGGTACCTTTCGAACATTTTTATTACAAGCTTTTATTTAACTCACTTCCTCGACAGTCTGTCTGTCTGTCTAGACGGAAACGCAGGAGTGAAAATTCGGACAGTTCTACTTCACCGATACGATTCACAGTTGGCACGTGGGTCAAGACATGAAGACAATGCAATCTGAAACTAAATTTGACTTAATTGGATGCCTAATTAATTTTTTATGAATTAATAAAAATTTGGACCGAATTAGTAGGCATGTCTAGCCAACCACACCACAAGCGTCATCACCTTCAATAGCTGCGCCATCACGTAATGGCTGCGTTCAAAAACCATTGCGCGCCTACTGAACGTGATATTCAGTAGGCGCGCAATGGTTTTTAGTCATGTAACTCTATTGTAGATAAAACATGTAAAGTACTGAAAAAAAAATTCATAAAAAACGTTTTAATAACAAGCTTTTATGTAATGATGCACTAAAAAGTAGAAAATAAATTATAGACTACTATTTAAATAACTATAAAGAAAAGCGTGGGTGTCTTCCTTAACATTAGTAAAGGTATCCAATAGATACTAAAGTGACCCACGCTTTTCTTTATAGTTATTTAAATAGTAGTCTATAATTTATTTTCTACTTTTTAGTGCATCATTACATAAAAGCTTGTTATTAAAACGTTTTTTATGAATTTTTTTTTTACGGATTCCCTTGGATTTTCTTTACTAATTGTCTTATATTACCTTCTTTACTTCTTCTTCTTCTTCTTCGTTCTTAATTATTAGTGTTGAAGGGTGATCGAGATTAATCTGCCAGTGGGTTTTGAACTCGAGACTTTGTTCGAATTTATCAACCATGAGCTTTTTGCCGACTCGACCAAGCCTCCAACACAATTAAGCGTTACGTGTCAACTGGTTATGCGCCTTTGAGGCCATTGACTCCGATTTCAGCCTGCTTTTTCTTTTTGGATTTGCTTCCATAGCCTTTGTCCAACCAAGAACAAACTACAAGGCAGCAGTTGTTTAATTTTGGAGTTGTCTCTCCTAGAAGAGTGGCTGTCCCCAGCTAACGAGCCTCATCTGCCCGAGGGTTCGAACTCGAGACTTTTCGGTTTAGCAACCATGAGCTTTACCGACTCGACCACGACGACCCCACCTTCTTTACTAATTTTCTTCAATGATTTTCTTTAACTGCAGTCAACTGCAGGTCTGCAGCTTTAGCTCGGGGTGAGAATTTAATTCTCTCTTCAACGTTGCTCGTATGTCAAGTAATGTGTATATCAAAGCAATTTTCTCCATAGAGAATTTAATTGAAATGCTAATTCAACTCGTCAATGTCAAGCGTTATTTTTGTTACGATGTTTTAAATAAGAAAATATGTTAAGCCTATAAATAGAAAATATTATTTTAAATCATTAAAAAAATGCCAAACAATGAATAAGTTTTTTTTAATTTATTTACCTTTGAAATCATCGACTTGAGTTAACGGATGATGTTGGAGGTAGTAAGGGGGGGGGGGGCTGAGAAGGCAGCAGCCAGAGGCCCCCAATTTTTTCTGTTACAAACCATAGTAAATTTCATTTTATATCTTAATTTATTTATTTTTTACCATAAAACCATATTTTAGTTTTTGAATCACGAGCATATTTCATTTTTTTTTTTCAAAATATCAAACACGTACATGCACTTTAGTATAAATACCAGCGGTCGTCACCTCCTACTTAAACATTGTTTACCTTAAGATGATGCTCCCTAAAATAACATAGTCCAGAGTAGCGGTCGCTTATATCAATAAAATGGTTTGTTTTCAGAGTTTAAAAAAAACAACACAAGCCGCAGCAAAATTCCGACAAAGAAGTTTGGGGCTTACGATTGACCCCGATTTAATTTTTTTTTTAAAGATAACAATTGAAAGACATTTCGTCAGATAGCGCCTAATTGTGAAATGAGGAACCCGCTTCAAAACGCACCTGCTACCCCCTCCCATTGTTAACAGGAGCTGTCATCGCTTTCCCCTCGAACATAATTTTTTTTTAATTATTTCTGGCACATAAATGGGTTGATCAGCCAATGTGAGATTAAAACAAACGAGAAACAAGTCTTTTTCAGACACGTTTTTTAATTGCAAATACAAATAGTGATAGGCCGTAGCCTTTAACCCCAACACAACAGAAAGATTATAGAACCACTGATCCGTTTTTATAAGGTGAGTATTATGCTTTGTGTGTGTGTGTGTTATTTGAAGTGGCAGGTCGGATAGTAACGATGTTTTTATGTGTCCAATTAATAACAATTAAAATTGAACCTACATGCCAAGTGTTAGCAACAAGGACATGGTGAGGTTTATCTCAAGAGTATAGAAATTGTAGTCACATGCCAAGTGTTAGCAACAAGGACATGGTGAGGTTTAGCTCAAGAGTATAGAAATTGTAGTCACATGCCAAGTGTTAGCAACAAGGACATGGTGAGGTTTAGCTCAAGAGTATAGAAATTGTAGTCACATGCCAAGTGTTAGCAACAGGGACATGGTGAGGTTTATCTCAAGAGTATAGAAATTGTAGTCACATGCCAAGTGTTAGCAACAAGGACATGGTGAGGTTTAGCTCAAGAGTATAGAAATTGTAGTCACATGCCAAGTGTTAGCAACAAAGACATGGTGAGGTTTATCTCAAGAGTATAGAAATTGTAGTCACATGCCAAGTGTTAGCAACAAGGACATGGTGAGGTTTAGCTCAAGAGTATAGAAATTGTAGTCACATGCCAAGTGTTAGCAACAAGGACATGGTGAGGTTTAGCTCAAGAGTATAGAAATTGTAGTCACATGCCAAGTGTTAGCAACAAGGACATGGTGAGGTTTAGCTCAAGAGTATAGAAATTGTAGTCACATGCCAAGTGTTAGCAACAAGGACATGGTGAGGTTTAGCTCAAGAGTATAGAAATTGTAGTCACATGCCAAGTGTTAGCAACAAGGACATGGTGAGGTTTAGCTCAAGAGTATAGAAATTGTAGTCACATGCCAAGTGTTAGCAACAGGGACATGGTGAGGTTTATCTCAAGAGTATAGAAATTGTAGTCACATGCCAAGTGTTAGCAACAAGGACATGGTGAGGTTTAGCTCAAGAGTATAGAAATTGTAGTCACATGCCAAGTGTTAGCAACAAGGACATGGTGAGGTTTAGCTCAAGAGTATAGAAATTGTAGTCACATGCCAAGTGTTAGCAACAAGGACATGGTGAGGTTTAGCTCAAGAGTATAGAAATTGTAGTCACATGCCAAGTGTTAGCAAC